AAAATGAGCTGGGAACTTGGGTGATTGGGTGACAAGAGGCAGGTGGGAGAAATTAACATGGACACAGGACTGAACAGAATGGGGAGACAGGACAGTGTGACAGTACCCCCCACCCCCCCACCCCCACCCCCACTCACACACACACACACACACCACCTCCATCAGCAGTAAAAACTATGTGATGATAGTCCGTATTTGATGCCCGTGGTGACACTAGTCAGTAACTGGACGCAATTTGCTGGGTTCCTTATATAAGAAACTTTTTACTGATTGGCTTAATGAACTGCATTGGGATGTTTACTGTGTGAAGTGCCTTGAGATGACTCTTGCCGTGATTTGACGCTTTATAAATAAACTTGAATTGAATTGATTGCTTCACAACTGGACAGGACACGGTTTGAATAAAAACAGAGATGGGGTAAAAGCACAGTCATCCGCGAATGGCTTGGAGTAGATCCGCTGCTCCTCCACATCAAGAAGACCCGGACATGCTGGAGGGACCATGTCTCTCTGCTGGCCATGGAATGCCTTGGGATTCCCTTAAAGGAACTGGCCCAAATGGCTGAGGAGAAGGAAGTACTAGTCTATCTGATTATGCTACTACCCCCGCGACCCCACCCTGGATAAGCGGCTGAAAATGGATGGATGGATGGATGGATGGATAATCCTGTCATTGTCATCTTGTAATATGCCCATCCCATCAGGGAAGATGGAGTAACCTGGTCATTGAGGATATTCAGGTAGTCAGCTGACCTCATTCTTGGAGCACATCGTGTTGCTGAACCTAGACCTGACCTACTGCAGAAACCCCAGATCATGGCACTGCCCCCACAGGCTTGTAGAGTAGACAATAGGCATGATGGGTGCGTCACTTCATCTGCCTCTCTTCTTACCCTGATGCACCATCACTCTGGAACAGGGTCCATCTGGACTCATCAGACCAGATGACCTTCTTCCATTGCTCTAGATTTCAGTCTTTATGCTCTCTAGCAAATTGAAGCATTTAGTTCCAGTTTGCCTCACTGATCAGTGGTTTTCTAACAGCTACACAGCAGTTCAGTCCCAATCCCTTGATTTCCCTTTGCATTGTGCACGTGGAAACACTCTTACTTTCACAATTAAACATAGCCCTGAGTTCTGCTGTTGTTTTTCTCTATTTGATTTCACCAAACGTTTAACCGATCGCCAATTACAACCAGTCAGGATTTTACTTCCTCAAAGACGACAGATCCTCACTATTGTTCCAGTTTGTATTAATGCGTTACACAGTTCTTAACCAAATTTTAGTCATTTTTGCAGTCTCCTTAGATGTTTTCTCTGCTTGATGCATGCCAATTCTCTCCCCTGAGCCTGGGATCAGTGGACTCAGTGGTCTCCTTTAAAAAGCAGCTGAAGACTTACGTACCTGGTCAGGCTGGATTTAGCCTGACCCCCTGTTGAATCTTCCCCACTACCTTCTTTTAATGCTGCCATCTCTATCAATTTGGCCCTTTTTTCATGTTCATTTTGTCCTCTTTTTCATTTAAAATGTTTTAGTTTTCTTCCTTTTAGTGATATTTGTAAATCTTTAAATCTTTTTTTAAATCTTTTTTTGTGAAGTGCCTCGTGGTTTTCATCTTGAGAGGCGCTGTAAAAAATTGTTTCTTCTTTATCAATTATCTGACCCTTCTCAAACAGACTAGCATCTTCTCCACGACCACCACGACCATGACCCCCGTCTTTCCACAGGGTTGTTTAAGAAATGAAAAGCAGCTCATTGCACCAGTTGGGTTAAATAACTTGGGTTGCTGTACCTTGTTGCAGCTGAAAATAATCGCCCATGCAGTAATTATCCAGTAGGAGGCTCCCACCCATTTACCCATGTCTCCAGGTGTAGACTATTTTTGGCCAGGCTGGGTATATTACTATTTACATTTAATTTTGTGTTTGGTGGTTGTTATTGTGCTGTAATGGTTGTATGATGGTTTGTAACTAGTGGTGTGCATCTCTACCTGCCTCACGATTCGATCCGATTCCGATTATCTGCCTAAAGATTCGATTTGAGTCTGAAATGCATCACGATTCTTCACACAAAAATTTTCATTACTTAATAAAAGCAGTAGAATAGTTTTCCATTTCTTTTTGATTTCAAAACATTCATCTATTCACTATAGTGACCAATAATGTTTAAAGTGTGCTGCCTATAATTACTTAAATAATATAAGAAATAATGTTTTCGGTAGAGCAGCTTTAAGATAGAATATTACTGAACTTAAAAATAGTAAACAAATACTGTGTTAAGGATTCTTTCACATCCAGGATCCCAAAACCGAAATGAGCCCAGACATCCGATTTGAATATAACGGGTACATCTTTGATTACTGGTAATGTTCGCCCTGTATCCCTGTCCGCCATTTCTGTTTTAAATTGGCGCTAGGGCAACGCAGTGTGCATGTCATTGCCACTCTGCCCCCAGAAGTAATTGTAAAACATCAAAACTTTATTGTCCTCATATAGACATAGACCAGGGGTCGGCAACCTGTTCCCATCAAAGAGCCATTATTACCCATTTCCCACAGCAAAGAAATCACAGCAGCAGCTGCGGCGTTGTGGGCGGGGCCTACCCTCAGACAGCAGAGAGCTGCTCACAGCAGGTGACAGCAGCCGGTACTGGTCGCTCGTGTACGTCAAAGTTATCTTTCAACAGAAGATAATCAATAAAACGATTTATATAAAATGGATCCAGAAGTTGTAGCCCGTCTCTGCCGACAATATTTTGATATTTTTCACCCTGTTGGTGGTTTTACTGAGCAGGTGCCACTTTTGTCATACGTTCCTTTTTTAAACATGTTTAGACTGTTCAGAATACAAATCCAGGCTCTGTCACGTTTGATTGTTGTAATTAAACTTTGTAGGTGGGGAAGGTCCGAAAAGGATCAGATCATTTTGTTTTTCCCTCATTTACAGTGACGGAGATAACGGTGCAGTGCGCCTGGCTCTGGTGTTAATCAAGTTTAATTTTATCTATTTTCACAAGAAAACAGAACAGTCAAAAGCAGGGCTTGTGTTGTGTTGACCAGACAGTTCCCGTATTTGATAGTTTATTTTGACAGAGAAAGAATAGAAAGAATTACCCCGACGCATGCAGACGAAATGACATTTTATGCGTTTCGCACATTGCAGATGTAGCTGAATCACTCAAGAAAATATTCCCATCTGAACATCTGAGCTGGACACTGCTCAGCGCAGCTCGCTGTCAGCGCGTACGTACAGTCCACAGCGAGCTGAAGATGTGGAGATGGGCTTGGAGCGCGTCGCAGAACCAGAGCGCATGCGGGAAGGTTCCTCCCACTGAAGCGAGAGTTTTCCAATCCCTGTCTCTCAGAGAGACTTGTCACTTAGAAAATGTTCCCTGATTATGAAACTTTGGCTGAATGGCGCTTGTTCCTGTCTCCAATGTGGCGACACATCCAGGAGCCGTCTGAGGAGAGTCCCAGAATCTCACATCGTCTTCAGCTCAGAAAGCGCCTATATGATTACGCACAAGCGTGACCCGTCAACCCGGTCTCACAGTAAGACCGGGTTGGGCCTGTTCAGGTTTACACAGACAATCTTTATATAGAATTGACTTACAGATATAAAATTAATGCAGTAAAATATAAAGCATTTTATTTAAATATCCATTCATTATTTTACAAGCACAGAGAGCCGCATCAGATGGATGGAAGAGCCGCATGCGGCTCCAGAGCCGCGGGTTGCCGACCCCCGAAATAGACATAGGGAGAAAATCTCATGTCACGTTGCTGCATCGATGCGGAATCATGCACGGCTGAATCGCGATGCATCTTAGAATCGATCATTTTTCCCACCTCTATTTGTAACTGCTCTTAATTATCTAATGCTGGCTTGTTCTGTTGTTTTTTAGATGTATGCACATTTCTTGTTGATGTTTTGAAGTTCTGCTTGATTGTTACTTGATCCTATTTTAAAAAAGGGTGCACTTTACATTTTACTCAAAGCTTTTTTTTCTTTTATCCTATGTTGTTTATATGAGCCTATTGTATTGTATTTCAGCGCTCTGAGCAACCTTGACTGGTGGCAGGAAGGTCCTTTATAAACAAACAATTGAATTGAATAGTGGAACCAGATAACATAACTTGGTTAAGTAAATTCTGCATTTTGTTTTTTTGAGTGTAGGAAGCCTGATTCGCCACCTTAATGTAACAAGTATAACATCTATTCTCCGGTTTGTATTCACCTAAAGCACGTTTTGCATCAAACACCTCAGGCAGGTGATCTCTTCACCCTTCTTTGATTTAGGTAGAGCGCTTCTCTCTCACAGAGAGAAGCTCTGAATTAGCATCTTAAGCCACATTTACGTTTGGATTTCAACATTTAGACTGAACCTAATGTCTTTATGTCTGATTTTAAGTATTTATTTAAAAAATATTTGGATTTACGTTCATTTTCAAGATCAATAAAACAAACTTCACACCCCATTTGATCATCGTGAGGAGCTGGCCAGGGCTGCTTTTAATGAAACGCGTCACAACGCCACCGATCTCATGTGTTGCTGACTTTTCCTGAAGTTGTAAACTTTCTGGTTGTTTGACTATTTTGAGTTTCTTCATAGTTTGCTGGGAACTGAACACTTCTCGCTCGCCAAAATGGAGCTTGGGCTTAGATGAGATGTTAATGCAGGCCCTGCATTCAGACAGATCTGGCTTCCTATTGGTTTGCTTGCTGCAATTTGCCTCTAATGGTCTTCCAGCTCCTCATCCCCTTCCCCCTCATTTTCCACTCCTACTTTCTCTCTTTTTCTCTCGCTCGGCGTCTCTTCTTGCAGCAGCCTTGAGGCGTCCTGTTTCAGCTCCTTGGCTTTCAGTCACAATGCTGTGGAGAGTCTGAATGGGTGGGTGGGGGTGCTGGTGGGAGTGGAGTCTGACTGCAGAGGGTCTGCTGTTGAACAGAAAGGAGTTCTCTCATTCACCGTGTCTGTGTCTCCATCGGCTGCTTTGTAGGCTGAAGCCAGCAGACAGTCAGAGCTGTCAGCGCTGTGAGGCTCATCTCTGTGGATCCACGGCTGATCAGGCTTTCTGCTGCTGATTTCCTCACCAGAGGAGAGGGGCGAGCATTTATCACAAGGTAAGTCCCATTTCTACCTGCAGAAAGTAAAAGTGAATGACAGGATCAATTCCTTCAATCAGAGATGGAAAACTAGAGAACTTTGCTCATTTGCTGATGTGAGAAGAGTTTCCTGATTGATACCATCAGATAGTTTTTACTGCTGATTAATTTGATCCTTCCCGGTGGTTTAGTCAGTTATAAGGAGTAAAACCTGCTATCTAAAAATCCGGCTGGGTTCTGCAGAACTACTGGTGACCTCGCTGAATGCTGCACTCTCACCTCCATGTGGGGAATGTTGGCTATAAAATGTTTCATCCTCATGTTTTATGAGAAGACTTCAAAGACCAACCAGCCTAATTGTGCTCTTTACTTCAGTCACCTGAGTGTGATTTGTGTTCAGCGTTGGCTTTTTCTCTTTTATTATCAGAAAACAGGTGATGTTTCAGGAGCTGCTGAGCTCTAATGAGCTGCTGAAACGTTCTGCTGCTGCAGAGCTGAAACAGTTGGTGTGTTTCTGAGCGTGTGTGTGTGTGTGTGTGTGTGTGTGTGTGTGTGTGTGTGTGTGTGTGTGTGTGTGTGTGTGTGTGTGTGTGTGCGTGCGCGCTAGAGAACTAGTCTAGCTGCACACTTTATGGTTCCCCACAGACATTAATGCAACTTGGAGGATGCACCAGTTTGGTTCTTTTCCCAGACGTTTAGACCAACACACACACAGTCTGTGTGCTTCACTCTCCGACCGCAGGTCAGACCCATCCTACTGGTCCCCGGAGGGGTCTGAAGAGGAGGACAAGCATAAACAGGCTTTCACTGAGCAGACGTTGCAGGACTGAACACCAGTCCATAGTGGGCTTCCTCAGGACAAAAAGAAACAAGGTCCTGATAGATGTTGAGGAGCCAGTAGTAAAAAGTCTCAGACGTTTCATCTGCAGGATGACTTGGGACATTTGTGTATTCATTTACCAGACTCCATCCGCTCAGGAAGCTGTTTAAGCCTCTAAACCCCAAAGGACACCTCACAGTCTCAGGCTACCTCAAAAGAATATTCCACTGGTTCTTGGCTGAATGGTTTGGTTCTGTGTCTGTGTTCTGAAGATGGAAGGAGAATGAGCAAGGTTAGGTGGAAGCCAAGAGGATACCAAGCCAGACCCTGCTAAATGGTAAAAGAGCATTTGACGTGAAGGTTCTGATGTATCATCTGGGCTCAGAGGTGATGTGTTTTAGACATTAACGTTTCCCGTTGCTCAGGCTGAGCAGTCTCTGATATTTGGTAAAACCTGGAATGGGAACCAGGCTTTTGTTTGGACAGCTGTCAGCTCCTGATGCCCTCAGAGCTCGATGAAAGGGGGACTATCGTTGACCTCATTTAGCTCCTTTGCTGGTGATCTGGAGCCGTTGCGTATTCATGACAACCCCTGTCAGGAAGGTCTCCGGAGACTCATTCTGGTGGGGCTAAATAAATGCCGCCCCTGCTTCCTCTCTTATGCTGTCAGTGTTTGTAAATCTAAAAACTATTCAGTAAGCCTCAGCCTGACCCAATGCAAGATGCATGTTGGACTTTATGGTGCTGCTAAGCTGTGGTAGCTAGATTATGAAGTAAAGCAGGTGCTTGATTCCAGGCATGGTATCTGGCCGTCATTTCTACATTGATAGTATTAAAATAAGTTATTCCACGTGAACTGATCTTTTTACTGATGTGCGGGATTCACCATCAACATGATTCAGTTTGTTAAATCAAAGTAAACACTGAGCTTCAGTTTAGAGAGAAAGCATGGAAAAGATGCGGTGTCCAGTAGTCTCTAGCAGACCATCAAGTCGCTCTGTAGAGCAAACTCAACAACAGCGTTGTTTCGGCACCTGAGAGCAGAATCTGGGTCAGTAGTATCTCATGATCCATCACTATTATCCCAAACTGTGTGTGTGGTGGTGGTGTGTGTGTGTGTGTGTGTGTTGGGGGGGGGGGGGGGGGGGGGTGTTCATGAGACAGTGTTTTATGTGATCTTTTCAAATGTATTCAGCCAGAAGGAGCGATTGCTGAAGCAGATATAAGAGTAGAGAGTAGGCGGCACTGTTTGCTTCCTCAGGATGTCCTAAGATGTTCAGACTGACTAGTGATGACTTCTGCTGATGAGTGATTACATAATCATTTACAAAGTCAAAGTTCCCCTGAATAGAAACTTATCAAGTAGCAGCATGAAAATAAGCTAGTGAGGATGAGGACATACAGTACAGGCCAAAAGTTTGGACACACCTTCTCATTCAATGTGTTTTCTTTATTTTCACGACCATTTACAAAGGGGCCAATAGCACCTCTGGGAACTCCTTCATGACTGTTGGAAAACCATTTCAGGTGACTAAGCTCATCAGGAGAATGCTAAGAGTGTGCAAGCAGCATTCAGAGCAAAGGGTGGCTATTTTGAAGAAAAGAGAATATAAAACATGTTTTCAGTTATTTCACCATTTTGGTTAATACATAACTCCCCATGTGTTCACAGTTTTGATGCCTTCAGTGAGAATCTACCAATGTAAATGTTCATGAAAATAAAGACAACACATTGAATGAGAAGGTGTGTCCAACCCTTTGGCCTGTGCTGTTCATGTATAGATGTTGATATAGACTGCTAGAACATGTGCAGCAGTCATGAGCTGATGTTGAATGAGTGCAGCCTCAGAAGAAAGTACAGCCTGGACTGGCTCCTCTTGTAAAGCTGGTCTGTGCTGGAGGCTCAGTCCAGCTCATAGTTCAACACTATCCCTAGTACATATATGATGGCACAGTCTCAGTGCTATCTTCTATGAACACTGGCTGATGTGTAGGATCTTTCCTACTGAAGTCCAGAAGCATCTCCTTGGTCTCTGAACTTTCAGCTGCAGCTGGTTACTCTTGCACCAGGCCACAAAGTCCTCCATGAACAAGAGGTCACACAAAAGCCCGCTTGAACAGATGAAACAGAAAATGTAACACTGGCTGAAGATTGAATTTTTTCTATTTTTGAGTGGGACCAAATTTGGCCTGAAATAGAGTTGAATCCAACTCCTCCAGAGTTAAAATGAGAATAGATTCCTTACTGGGTATGTTAAAATATTTGGAGGCACAAGCTCAACAGGGTCAAAGGTGACTTCAGGATAAGGAAAACATGAGGCCAACTCCTAGCTCCTAGCGCTTTGGAGTCCTTACTCTGAGAGGCGCTATACAAGTGCAGGTCATTTATCATTTCCTGCACTGCAAAAGGTGTTGCTTTCAAAAACTCTTATTCATTCATTCATTCATTCATGTTTAAATGACTGATTCTCAGCTAACAATCCTCAAACATCGTTAAATGAAATGTGACCTTTGAAGGTATTTTATCCACAATCTTAACATTAACATTTAGCTGTGATATGGGCCTTTAAGAGGCACAATCTTTGGAGATTTTCTCTCTTTTAAAAAATAAAAGAAATGTTGGGCTTTCAAAGATTGAGGGAGGATTATCAAATTATTGGTTTAACATATTTAAAGGGACTTTACGGAGTTTTGAATTTTTATGCTCGCGATTGCCCCCTCAGGCCAAAAGTGTAACGGCAGCTTCAATAGTAGGCTCGTGCACGAGGCGCGCATGCTGTACGTGCACACTCCTTAACGAAAATAACAGCTGAGACAGTCCCTTGTGTGTGTGTGTGTGTGTGTGTGTGTGTGTGTGTGTGTGTGTGTGTGTGTGTGTGTGTGTGTGTGTGTGTGTGTGTGTGGGTGTGGCCCGGAGGACAGAGGACAGGAGAACGCGCAGCTAATTAATTAAATAATTTGGTTCTGTACCTTTCTCTTCAGCACAGCCGACAAAGGTTTATGATGGGTAAGCCCTCCTGCATGCTCAGATCATTCCCTTTCCTTGCTTGAAAAATTGTTCCAAAATGAAAGTTGAACCCACATCTTTTTTATCTGTGAATTCAATGCCATTCGGCGAGTCTCAAATAAAAATTTGGGCATCTTACTGTTGAAAAAGGTACCATTAATGTAATAAAGAAACTCCAATTACACTATGTTCACATCCAGAATCAAACCCAGAACTTCTGCACGGAAGTCCGACGTCTTACTAGGTGAGCTAAAGCACCAGTGACATCCTTTGTATCTGTAACATTTATATCCTTGATGACAGCTGAGACAACGTTCAAAGAAGGGTTTGGAGCAAAAATGGCTATTTTGTTGCTAATTTGCAGGAAATATCTAGAAGAAAGTAGCTAAGCGTCCTCAGAAATGTAGCTAGGTTCATCACTAGGAGTTAGGAACAGCGACAAAGTGGCGGTGACTCTCTCTGCTGCTAAAGCTACGGATAGCAAATGCTACGGGCCACAAAAAAATAAGGAAGTAAGTGTTAGACCCAAGGGAGCAGTTCAGACCGCTGGATTCACTCCCAATATGAAAGTGCCAAAATTAGCAGTTCCACCTTCATCCGCTAGGGGCTGGCTCCTGAACTGAACAAGTTCCCATTGACTTCCATGTTAAAAATGCCCATTTCACAGCAGAAATAAACATGTTTATAGCCTGGTTAAAAAAATATTTTTGATATAATAGATATATTTTAAAATTTTTTCATTCAGTTTTTATTGATTTTCCTATTTTCACAACTATAATATAAACAAAATATAAATGCAACACCGTTGTTTCTGCTTCGATTTTTCATGAGATGGACTTAAAGATCTAAAATTCATTCCAGATACACAATATTACCATTTCTCTCAACCATTGTTAACAAATCAGTCTAAATGTGTGATAGTGAGCACCTGTGCTTTGCTGAGATAATCCATCCCACCTCACAGGTGTGCCACATCACGATGCTGATCTGACATCATGAGTAGTGCACAGGTGTACCTTATACTTCCCACAGTAAAAGGCCATATATATGTATATAAATGCAACACTTTTGTTTCTAATTCTAATTCTAATGAATTGTGAGCAGGGGACCTTGACAAGAGGTATAAAAATCTTGGATGGACATTTTTCTGGAGTAATTGGATGCATGAGCTAAAGTCTATCATCATGGTGG